GCCTCTGTGACTGCCTCGGGTTCGCGCCTCCCTGGGGTGGCCGTCGGCGAGGGGCGGGGCGAGCGGCGCACGAGGCGCTGAGCAGGCGGGGCCTTCGCTTTGCCCTTAGGCGCTGGAGCGAACCTGCTTCCCGGCTGGGTGTCCCTGTCACCTTGCCTGGGCGACTGCCTAGTGGCCCGGCTCTCCATCCCACCTGCCGTGCATGCTGGCCGGGAGACTTTCCCCTGACTCCCAGGCCACCTGTAATCTTGAGCCGGGTCCAAATTGAAGACGGTGTTATCTGTTGGTAACTTCGTGAAACCTTTGCCCAGGAAGTTGCATTAGTGTACCTGCCCGCCCCTGTCTCCACCCACTTCTTAAAATATCCTTGAAGCGCTTTTGAGTGAAACAAATCGTTATTTTGTTGGCTTAAAAAAAACAAACAAACGCCCTGATACTTTACTTGATTACAGAGAAAAGGTCATTGCAAGCTTTTTGGTTTGTTTTTCTTCCTGGAATACTCAAAATCCAATTCTACCCAGTCGATTCTGACTCTTAGTGACCCTGTACGACAGGGTAGGGGCAGATCATAAACTGCCTCTGTGGGTTTTGGAGTCTATTGTGGAAGTAGACCGCCTCATCTTTTTCCTTGTCTGGTGATTTGAAACTGCTGACCTTGTGGTTAACAGCCCAATGTGTAACCCTTTATGCCACCAGGGCACCTTCCTGGAATAGATGTATGTTAAAATAGTTCTTAGGTTTTGGGGCCGTGCAGGATCTGATAAGAGCTTTCATTTGGCACTCGAGTTTGCTTGATAACTGGTTTTACATGTATGTATAGGAGTTCGCGTTTATGTTGCAGTATAATGTTACCAGTAGATTTGCAGGTTGACAGTTTTTCTCTTAAAGAAATGCCTAACCAAATGTGCATCTGACCAAAATCGTGTTATTTGCAATAACCTCCTATGCATGGGAAAGGTAGACAATAAATGAGGAAGACACCTTCACCCCCCACCCCTCCAAAAAAAGATGCTTTGAATTATGGTGTTGGCAAACCTATTTTGGAAGAAATGTAACCAGAATGATTGCTGGAAACAACAATGGTAAGAATTCTCCCCTCAGGTACTTTGGGTACTTCGTGTACTTTGGACATGATAGGAGGGAGGCACCTGTGAACAGGACCTCATGCTTGGTCAGCAAAAAAGAGGAAGCCCCTCAACAAGATGGATTAACACAGTGGCTACAGCAATGAGGACAGGACAGCACAGAAGTTATCGCTTGCAAATGGCTTCCTTTTTCTTCTACCTATCCCTTTATATCCACGCATTACCCTTCTGCTCCTGTCAGGGAGGGCAGGCTTGTCCAAGATTCTGTGGTATCTGGTTGGGTTTACCACTGGGAAATAGGCCAGATTAGCAGTCAGAGGAGAGTAGGCTATTTATTCTCCTGGTTTGATCACTATGGGTTGGCTGCAGTCCCTAACCATAACCCCTCCAGTCCCTTCCTTTACCTCTTAATTCTTAAGACCTAGGGATAATAACATCTAGCCAGCTCTTACCCCAAAAGCCCACTGCTGTGGAGTTGGTTTCAACTCATAGAGGCCCTAGAACTCCAAAGCATTTCCAAGGCTGTAAATCTTTATGGGACCAGGCTGCCTCTATAAAGCAGGGTGTGGCAGGTGGATTGAAACCATTCACCTTTGGTTTAGAAGTCCCTTGCTTAACCCACTGTATCCCCAGAGCATCTCTCAGCCCTCAGGGTTGGAAGCATATTGTCATATCTTTGTCCTACGGTCAAGTGCTTAATCTCTACACTACCAGGGCTTCTCGGAGGCTGGGGTATTGTTAGGTACTCTCAAATTAGTTTCCCCTCATAAGGAACTTCTCTACAACAGAAAGAAGGAAACACTGCCTGGTGCTGTACCATCTTTATAATCATTGCTTGGTTAGAGCCCATTGTGTCAATCCATCTCATCAAAAGGCTTCCTCTCTTTTGCTGTTCCTCTACTTTACCAAACACAATGTTCTTTTCCAAGGACGGGTACCTCTTTATAACATATCCAAAGTACATAAATTAGGTCTCACCATCTTCCTTTCTAAAGAACATTCTAACTGTACTTCTCAGACAGAGTTGGTTGTTCTTCTTCTGACAGTCCATGGCAATTTCAATATTTTTTACCAAAACTATGAATTCACTGCCTAATTTTCACATGTCCATGAGGGGATGGAAAATACCATGACTTGGTTGAGGTGCACCTTAGTCCTCAAAAGGACAGCTCTGCTTGTTAACAACTCTGAAGAGGTTTTGTGCAGCAGTTTTGCACTATGCAATCTGTTAGAGACAGCCAACTTTAACCAGATTTTATTTCCTTTTCCTCTCAGTGAAAGACATAAACTATTTAAGTTCTAAAGATATATGAGATAATATGTGTAAAATGCCTTAAAAAGCCTACAAACTCAATTATGTTAGCTATTTTTATTACTTTTTAAATGAGTAGATTTAATTAGTATATTGTTGTAGGGTACCTTCTAATTAGTTTTTCTACTGATAGCAACCCTATGTGACAGATTAGAATGCCCCATAGGATTTCCTAAACTGTAATCTTGATAGATATTCACCAAGCTTTTCTGCTGGGTAGCTTCAAACTGCCAGCCTCTGTGTTAGCAGCAATGTTTAACCATGCCACCAGAGCTCCTTTTTAATTGGGATTTAAAACCAACTTGTCGTTGAGCTGATTCCAACCCATAACAGCCAGACAGGACAAAGTAGAACTTCTCCATTGGTTCCCCAAGGCTGTGTATCTTTTCGGAAGCAGACTGCCACACTTTTTCCCACTGAGCGGCTGGTGGGTTCAAATTGCCAAAATTACAATTAGCAGCTGAGAGCTTAACCACTGTACCACCAGGGCTCTTCTGAACCAGATTCCAACCAAGTCCCCACCACGAAGTCCATTCCGACACTCATGACCCTGTATAGGATTTTCAAGACTGTAAATCTTTATGAGAGCAGATAATGCAATCTTTCTTGAAGTAGAACATTGTCGGACTTCAACCCGGTGCTCCAAGATGTGAATGCAACATACTGGCATGAAGCAGGGAACCAATAGAGAGGTCTGAGAGGCAGGCTCCAATCCCAACTACATGGACACCCCCCTCCCCGCAAAAGAATTCACTTCAGAGGACAGCACTGAAGTTACAGCTCAGGGAAAGGGACATGTCTAATCAGCACACAGGACAAATGAAGGGAGAGGAAGAGAAAGTGGAACACATCCTGGTCCACCAAGCCCTGAGGATGATATTCCCACTCAGAGCAGCCAAAGCACAGAGAGGACCATAGGGCTGGCCCCACTATTAGACACTATGCCCCTTACCCACAGCACTATGGAGACAACACTGGAAACACAGTGTGGGAATTGCACCCGATCTGACCCCACCACATTGAGGCGGAACACTAAGAGTGTGCAACAGAACAGCAAGGGGAGGAGAGCAACGAAGTCCTCAGGGAATCCCAAAAATAGACTGTGGGGCCAGGGTGTGGCACCCCATCAGACTTGACCTGAAAACACTCCTAAAGGTCAACAAACAGACCTTGATCTATTTATAGGCTTTTCTTTTTGTTGGTTTGTTGTTGTTTTATTTTCTTTTGTTGCTTTGTTTTGCTCTGTTTTGTTTCTTATGCATATTATCTCTCCAGGTCTATCTAGATAAGATAGGCAGGATAAACAATCTGGAGGAGACAACAGGATGGATGGTTCTGAGGGGACACAGCAGAGGGGGAGGCAGGGGAAAGGAAGTGGGTATTAACAAACCCAGGGATAAGGGAACAACAAGTGATCCAAAATCGGTGGCTGGCAAGGAGGGTGTAGGAGGCCTGGTAGAGCTTGATCAAGGGCAATGTAACTGAGAGGAATTACTGATACCCAAATGAAGGCTGAGCACGATAGTG